CTCCACAAACACCATTGTATGTTTCAGGGGGAAACAGACCTGGACTCTGCCCCATGGTGACCATAGAAACCGGTGGTATTTGTGCTGAAAGCTGCACAGGAGATGACTCATGTCCCGGGGAAATGAAATGCTGCTTCAATGGATGTGGCCACGACTGCCAACCTGCTATCTTTGTGGTGAGTCTAAATCAGTCAAGAGCTGACAAGGGTGTTAACAACTCCCCAGTGGACTTTCCTGGGGCTGGTGAATGTTCACATGTCCACTGCACACAGAAGTCTGGGTAACTCCAAGAGAAAGAGGCTGGAGGTGAATGGCAGAAGGACGCCTGGCTGCATTATCTAAGACCCTCTCCTCAAAGAGAAGCCCTATCCCTGTCTCTGTCCCCAATGGGCTCTCAGTTGAGACAAGTAACCATGATCCTAGATTCCCAGGTCATTATTGTCCCAGGGTTTGTCACCCTCCTTTCCCTTCCCCACCAGGGGGGCTTCACTCTTCCTAGAAAATGGGTGATCCTGGGAGGCAGAGGGAAAGCAAAGAGAACCCCAATTAGGGAGTATCTCCTCTGTCAGTCAGGCATTGTGCTGAAGTTGAGATAAAAAGGTAAACACAGCTAGTTCATGAGGACAGAACTATGTAAATAATTACAACCCCGGGTGACCCTGACTTTGTACAGATTTCGACTAAGATTGTGGAAGCACAGGCAAGAGTTATTGGTTTTGCCTGGGTGGGTGGATCAGTAGGTGTTGGGAAGGTTGCCAGAGAGTAGAGAACATTTAAGGGAGAGTTTAAAGGAGGCATAAAGTTTGCCACAGTAAGGAAGGGCAGTACAGATGATGGGGAAATGTGGGTCCTACACTGGAGATGGGAAAGTGATTGAGATTGTGGTCAGTAGAATTTGCAACATCTCAGTAGAGGATCATCCTGGCCAGGGTCCAGAAAGGAATGAGCTGCCTTGCCAAAGAGTTTGGTAGACTGCTGGAGGTTTCTGAGCAGAGGAAATGTCATGATCAAATTTGTATTTTAAAAGAATGATGACCATACGGAAGAACAACGGAGGGTGTAAGCGTGCCTGGAGACCAGCCCCAGAAGATTGCTCATGAATGCATGGATCCAGTGCTTGGCCTAATGTTTTCCACACATCAGTCCTGGAAAGTGTCTATCCCTTAACGTGCAGTCCCAGAAGATAAAGATCTAAAATGGTGGATTGGCCGATTCTAAAGAGCTTGTGTCCAAAATAAATTTTACCTGTGGCATTATTGAGACTGTGTCATTCTTCCCATTTAGACATTCTTTCTAGTGGACCCTGTGTGGATGAACAGAATGGCCCCTCTGCCCTGTACTGAGCCCATGAATACGAGGCACTCAGGATAGATGAGAGGCAA